TGTTTTTGCAATGCATTGCTAAGGACCGGGTTTTTTGGTTAATCATTTTTCTTGAATTTTTTGCAGTTTGTACAATTTTTGCATTTTGGACATTTTGGATTTTGGAGAAACTGTGGAGTGGGGAAAGGTGTGGAATGTTGTTAAAATTTGAGGGTGTGTTGTTACTGTTTGTACATACTGCAGCACAGAGAAATGCTAACATTTTTGAAGGAAAAATATAAAGCAAAACGTGCTGTTAACCGTGAGAGTAGAACGCTTTTCTCAACCAATTATTAAAATAAAATGTATTACTTTCCAAATTTATTTTAAGAATAGATGTCTTCATAGCTTTGTAGTTTGTGAATTTAACAAGATAGATAAGATCTGTACAGATAACTTTCAGTTCAGAGGTTTCATACCTATCACTCTGACTTTATGAATGTGATATTGATGTAAAAAAAATTATGTAACAAAAAATATTCATCCCATTGCCATATTACTTTTCTCATATTCATGTAGTATACATAATGCAATGAATTTTCCCCCATAGTAACAAATTCTCATAGTATGAAATAAAACTGATCTGGTGCTTATTTCTTGATATTTCTTCATGATTCTCATCGGAATATATTTTAATAATAATAATAAAAATAAAATAATAATAATAATAATAATAATAATAATAATGTTTTATTTATATTGTGCCTTTTCAAAGCTCAAGATCACTTTACAGAGCATCCAAAAACAAACAAAACAAGAGGGAGGATGTAAAGGAAAGCAAATAACACATTCTCAACTGTCAATGATCAATGCACGCAACCTAATGTACCAGTCAAAAGGGAGAGAGACCCTAGGGGCACCTAGGGGCAACTTAGCGTGTCTAATTGGCCTGACTGCATGTCTTTGGACTATGGGAGGAAACGTATGCAGACACAGGGAGAACCTGCAAACACCACACAGAAAGGATGCCCGGATGGGGAACCGAACCCATGCCCTTCTTGCTGTGAGGTGACAGCGCTACCCACCCACTGCGCCTGATAGCAGATAAAATGGTAATATTTGTTGTGTAGACATATCGACATCGATGGTTCCTAGTACTACAGTGGTAAACAATTTTGATTCTGTAAACTTTTCTAGAAAGGCACATTTCACACCGACCCACCAATGATTTTATTTAAATCTGAACTATTGAATAATTAAGTAATTTTGCAAAATCAGAGGAGTTCCTCTTTAAAAGTAATAACAAGTATCTTGTATTTAAATGCAAAGTAATGGGTAGCCAGTGTAACCGGTATAGGACAGGGGTAATATATTCTGCATGTTTGCTGTGGGTGAGAATTTTGAATGTATTGCTGTTTATTTAAGGTGTTTGCAGGAATCCCAGTAAGAACAGAATTACATCAAGATGATAAGTGATAAAAACAGAACAGTTTTTCAGTATCTTTTAACTTCAGCAGGGGGGTGAAGATGTGCAATATTGCGGAGATAAAAAAGTTTTGGCAAGCAGGTTTATGTGAGGTGTGAAAGTAAGCAAAGGGCCGAATAACGCACCAAGATTATGGACTAACCAGGAAGGCTTCACAATAACTCCATAAATATCAGGGACAAAATTTGATTATTCAGACACCACTTGGAGGCAACTAGCATAACATACGTTTTATTGGCACTACGTTTCAGAGAGTTGGCTGTCAACTGATTTTTTAGCTCAACCATACATTCAATCAGAGAACTGAGTGGGTAATTGGTGCTGGATTTAGTGCTAACATAAATCTGGGTGTTATCGGGATAACAATAGAAGACCATAATGGCAGATGTTTTGACCAAGTCATATAACTTAAGGACAGGACAAAGGACAGAACCTGGAGGCACCCCTTGTGCAATTGGGGCAGTAGAAGATTTGTATATACCTATAGTAATAAAATGCTGTCTATCAGTGAGGTAAGATCTAAACCACTGAAGGGTTGTGCCAGTAATGCCAACAGAGGAAAGTCAAGACAAAAATATGTGGTGATTTAAAGTTTAGAAAAGCAGCGCTAATGTTGAGAAGGAGAAAAATGTTAAGAGCACCTTAGCAGAAAGACGATCATTAACCACTTTCAGCAGGGCAGTTTCTGAAATGTACGAAAACCAGACTGAAAGGTCTCATAAGGATAGTGTTCTGATAGAAATTCCTGAAGCTGTATAGCAGCTACCTTTTCCAATACTTTCCCTAAAAACAGAAGGTTGGAGATTGGCCTGTAATTATCAAAAATGGATGTATCAAGGCTAGGCTTTTTAAGGCCTTGTGCAATGGCAGCTCTTTTAAGGGCAAAAAAAACAGCTGTAATTAATGGTTGTAAACAGGCTTTTAGTATTCCTGTCACAGCCCTTAATGATGGCTGAGTAGTAAGTAGCATAAGGACTCAGAGCATCCCTGAATTTATGCAAATGTTCAGTAAAAGGTTCCTAATGAACAGTAAGCCCAGATTTCTTATAGTGATGTTCAAGAAGCTGGTTAATGTTCTTCATCCAGAGGTATACCAAGTTGAGGGATGAGTGGCCAGTACCTGCCTGTTGTTCAAAAGGGCAAGGCTATCAAACATATTGGAAATGCTAGAATTATACAGAGAAACCATGTCATCAGGATCTGAAATCTTTGGGATATTCACAATGGATGACGTTTTTAGACACTGGGAAAAAGTCGGAGGATCAGCTGACCTAATGTTACGATAAGATATAACAGTTTTCTCAAGTGGCTTGAGAATAGGGATGCAGAGATTAGATTCAATTTGTGATCAGAGATGCCAACAAAGGAGCCCAAGCCAGAAATGCTCACAAAATTGATGAGGTTCATGAAATCTATATAAATGAAACAGTAATACAGTACAACATATATGTTTATAGTTACCTACATTTCATGTATTAGAAGTATGATAATAGTTCAAATCTTGAACAGTGTGTCGAGTCAATTATTCGGTTATTAATTATGACTAGGGACATGAGCTAACAAGGTGCAAGAGTTATGGTTGACTTTAAAACCAGCTTCAAGTTTGTTTTCAACTTTCTATTCTAGTTACAAATGTTTTCTTCCAGTTGTTAATGTTATAAAGGTTAATTCATGCTTGGAACATCAGTTAGGAAATGACAATTTGTACATCACATACATGTTAAGGAATTCTTTTACACCTCATTTAAAAAATTATAATTAATGTTTAACCAACATTGTTTTCTGTGCATTTAATTAAATGGTTAATTAGTATAGTTTTTTTTTGGGGGGGGATTTTTTACCCGATTTTCTCCCCAATTTAGTCGTTTCCAATCCCACTCGCTAGTTAGGACTCCCCCAATCACACGATGCTATTCAGCGCAGGCGTCTGTTAGCTGACGCTAGGAGGGTGACGCACTTCTTCTCGAACTGCCGCTCACGCAACGTCAGTGGACAGCCATACGCGCTCGGAGGAAAGCGCCAACCGCCAGATCTGTTACGTCAGCTAACAGACGCCTGCGCTGACTAGCATCGCGTTGAGTGATGGAGGGAGAAGGAGGGGCCATCCTACCCACCCAGAGAGAGCGAGGCCAATTGTGCTCTCCTGGACTCCCGGCTACGGATGGCTGTAGCATCACCAGGGATCGAACTCGCGATCTCCTGATGATAGGGCCAACGCTTAGACGGTTGCGCCACTCGGGAGCTATAGTATGTAGTTTATCATACTGCTGTTTCTAAAAGTCTTTGCTCATTTCCAGGCTGACCAAATTTGGTGGGTAGAGGTGGAAGGAAGAAAGGAGGAAGTGCCATCTGTTTTGCAATTCATTTTGTAAACAGCATGGATGTCCCCTTACACTCCTTACAATATTGCCATGCAATGTTTTGTAAGTATTATGTAATAGATTGAGGTAAGAAGGACTCTGGAAGTATTTATCAATCAGAAATCAAGCATTTTGGCCTATTCCTCCATCCGTACATTCACCATTAATTAAATTCATGTCTGTCCTTTGATATACTGACTCTTTATTTCTTTTTAACAATTCCAGTGAGGTTTTCAGTGTGTGTTTTTGATTATTGTTAATTTTCAGTTCTGCTTTCACTTAACCTCTTACCCTTGTATTCTTATGGGGATTTTCCGTGTTCCCCCAGTGTTAGGAAGCTGCTCTGATCTAACTTTAATCCCCCCACCCCCACCATTGCTGTATGGTGTTGATATCACGTAAGCAATCTTTGGTTCATTAAAAATTGCCCCCGTGGCTTAATAACCCCACTGTCCATTTCTCAGTACTGGATGTGCACTTGAATACACTCCAGCAAACATTGGCCATGTAAATGTTCCTATTTTTCTGTAAGCAACAGCACATATAACACACGTATAACTCATATTGAATAAAGTCACGTTCCAAAAACAATAATAGACTACTGCGTCACACAGAGGTCTGCTTCCTTTACTGTTTCAGTCTCGCACGTAGACATTGTCTTGTTTACTCTTCTAGTGGGGTAGTAGGGTAGCAGTCAAAAGTTTGCACACACCTAACTGAATTCACATTTTTCATAATCTTAAAGACATAATGAACTAAAAGCTAATCCTTAGATTTTTTTAAATTAATATTAGAAAAATACAAATAGTGAAGTGCACTCCTAAAAAAATATGATCTTTCAAGGGTTCTTTAGTAAAGACAATGGTTTTATATAGAACCATGGACACTCAAAGAACCATTTGCATGATTAAAGGGTTTTTTGCATGGTTAAAGCGTTCTTCACGTTGATGGAGAAGGTGTCATATATGGTTTTAAATAGAGCCAAAAAGGGTTCTGCTATTCTTACAATGTCAAGCATAACAACAGAGGAACCAGAGCTGCTTCACTAAATACTGGAACTGCTTACAACTTTAACCCATTGCTGGAATTGTCACGAGGATCAGAAGCTTCAAATCACTTTACAGAACATACATTCACACACAACTGTATTAACAATGATTGCTATTTGTTAGCATTGGCACGAAAGTGGACATTTTCATGTCAAATACATTGGTAATAAACAATGACAACATGTATATATTTGTTAGTTTTATTTCATTGTAAGCATTAGCATGAAAATAGATTTTATAAATATAAATACATTCAAGTTAAATAGAGTTTATAAATAACAATACATGTATAAAACGTCTTGGACGTTACAACACCAGAATTTTCCTGGCTTACATTTATAACCTTATAACTGTTTACTTCTTGGGTCAAGATGTGATTGCCGGTTAGGAATCTCTAACTGAGAAATATCCAAACATAGCATAAGCCTCCAGATGTATAACTGTACTTAGTACATACGTTAGGGAAAACTAGTATTGTGAATGAAATCTGATTCTTAGATTACTTTCTGATTGTGGAGTGAAAAGACTTTTTGACGGCTGGTGTCTCTCTCAACACACATATCCACCGACGTGTATTCATTCTTAGAAGTGCTGATGAACCAGCCTGGGTACTTCACTGATTCGAAGGTGTTATTTGATTTTGCAGTATCTTTTCGGAGGAAGAGGAAGCGCTCCATGTCATCATTCTCATAGATAGTCTTCAGCGCCTCTTTGTCCTCCACCACCTAGAACACAAAGAATTTGTTAATGCTGATTCAGTGCATGTTAAAATGCACTGCGTCAAATGAACTGGGCTGTTTAAGCACAGTGAATGGGTTTTGTAAAATGGTCATGTGTACTTGCCTCTAGATTAAGACTAGGAGTTCCAGAAACATTTGTACATGCAAGGTACAGGTCGCTCTGCGCAATCCCCAAACACACTGGCAGGCCGTTTGTGGCTCCACACCTTGGAGTGGTGTAGGACGACAGGTTGATGGATACTGTTGAAAACAGTAAAAAAAATCTATGTTATTTGCACTAGCATAGAAGGTTTTATAATAGAGAAATCATTAGCAAAGAAAAACTGATTGAGAAGGAGCCATAAGGAGCCAATATTCAAAAGAGGAAGGTAAAGGTAAAGGTAAAGGTAAAGAAAATGAGATAAAAGGACTAGTTTCCAGACTCAGATTAAGCCTTAGTAAGACTAAAACAGATTACGCTGATGGAGACTCTTACCACTTTGGCTACTGTTTCCACCCTTCAGAGTGACTGCTAAGAGGGTGCGGCCACCTTGAAACCGCACCAGGCTCTTCTTTAAGCTGTCACACACGGTACACTGGATGACTCTATCGTGCTTGTTGTAAGTCTTTAAAGATTCACAATGTACCGTTGTCACCACACTCTCTATGAGGGAAGCAAAGACTAGAGGTCAGCCTACAAGGCATCTCAGTGCAACTTCTAAGACTAGTCTCATCCTTGGTTAGGATTAGGATGGACTGTTAAGCAAAGCAGAAAAACAGAGGTTTACTGCACCTTCAATTACGCTCTCCAAGATGATGTTGAATAGCTCATTGTCGGTGAATTCTGTGGACCGGACTTTCTGAGTGTGCTTGAACTTGTTCAGGGCAATTATGAAATTTGCCACTTGTCTCATACTGTGAGGCTGCTTAGTAATCTCAATCTGCAGCCCTTTGTGTAAGGCACACCTGCCACTCTGAAAACAAACACAGTCCATAGTCAGAGAGCTGACAGCTTACAACACAACAAAACATTACGTTACTCGTGTTGAACACCAAGGTTTTAGCTGAAACAGGCAAATGTTCATTTCTGGAGACATATTTGGATATAGTGGATATATTTCTTACCATGGCCAAAGGATCAGAGCAGTCCAGTTCATCAAAATCCATCTCATCAGACTCAAATGTGCTGTTGAAGAAGCTGTTAAGCACAGAATCAAGTGTCATCCAATTGGGCTTATGGTAAAATCAAGCACGTTTTAACAGGCTCACTTCAAACTAATTAACTCCATACACGTTCAGGACAGTGTTATTTCATTTGCGGCAGTTCAGTAAAGACATAAAGGCTCACCTTTCCAACAGCAGCAAATCCTTGTCTGCCATTTCTATAAAAAAGTAAACATGAGGATATTAATTCCAACAATTCCTTAAGTAAAATAAAATTAGAACTTTAGTTTCTATCATTTTTTAAAATCCACAGTAGAATTTTAGTTACCAATACTTCTTTTAAAAAGTAAACAAAACTAAATAATAAGTTAAGCCCTTCAGATACAAACCAGTGGTTAGTAAGCTTTCGGAGATTGTGTGAAATTGTTCCAGTAGTTTAGCTGTAGTCTTTCAGCTCTTCTCTGATGTGCCAATTCACTGCTGCTTTTTTAAGGCGAGAGGAAAGAGGAAGGAAATATGTCATCTGTATTACACACAGTCTTTTGTTGCTGAGTTGTTTTTTTTTTTGTTGTTTGATGTATTTGTCTTTTGTTTAAGTGATGTCTAATGATATACTGCTCTTATACTGATATACATTTGTAGGATTCTATTTGCACAGTTAAAAAAAGTTATATGTTAAAGTACACAACAGGATTTCATTCTCCTTTTTGTCTATTTGTCATTTGTCAATGATGCTATTTTTAAAATCTATATTTTTTGCTTGTGTTACAGTGTTTTCACAGTAGTTTTCATAGTTTGTTTTAAAAGAACCAAACTAAGTTCTGTCAAAGTGAACCTGGAAGGGAACCAACTGCAAGTGACCGTTCTTTTTGTGTTCACAATGTAAGTGAACTTTAAAGAGAACTCCTAAAATTGCGTTGCGTGCCCAACATGAGCCTTCAATACGTAAATTCACGCGGGCTCTCACATCTTATCACTTTTTTAAGTCAGCGCTGCTGTCTTGTCGCAGATCACGGCCAGGCTTTATCCTGAGTAGAACCTTATAAATGATCATTGATGGTTTTTACCTGCTGAAGTCCTAAAGACTGTGGCTGTGTGTACGGCAAGCCTTGTGGTCTTTACCACAAAGCAAAGCTAAAGCGGACTGGGGCCGTTTTGTTTTCACAATGTACAAATCAACCGAACCACAAATGAACCGAAAAAGAGGTGGTCTCAGTTCGGTTCATATTTGGGGTCGTTTAGAGGGGTCTGAGTTTATTTGGCATGTTCACATAGAGGTCATTCTACAGAAACGTCCACTTTCTACCTTTCTATCTATCCATAGGTGTCACTGGTTTTACCAGTCCTCATTGGTGTTACACATAAGAGAGGTAACACCAGTGACATTTTTAATGAAAAATGCATTTTACAAAATGGCTGCTACAGAGCATCAAACCACATGTTGTCAATCATGGGATATCCACTAAAATCTGGAATTTATTCCATTTGTGTTCTGTTTTTTCACAATTACCGAAAAAATAAAGTAGGTTACACCAGTGACTTCAACTAAAAGCTTCATATAAAATCATGAGCTAAAGGAGAAAATTTCTGATAACTGAAAAGACACAGTGGACTTACCATGTGCTTTTCTTCATAGATAACTCAGAAAATAGGTAAAGGATGTCAAGTGATGTCATCAGTGTGATTTTTATTTCAAAATAAGAGATTTTTTGTTATGCGGTAACACCAGTGACACGACTCCTGGGGACAACTTTCATTATATATTTTATAATATTTATTTGACATTTGTTTTCTTTATGTCATTTATTTTATATATTCCATAGTCATACAAAGATTATTGTAGTTAAAACTGCAGAAAAATTTGTTTTTTTCTTCAAATAATGGCCTCACCCTTTACACATGACTGTGGGGACAAGCACATTTGTGGTGCTTGGAATTCTAGGTAATTGATTTAAAAAAACAATATTGCTAAACTGACGGGTGAAGCAGGTATAATTGTTAAAATAACTTATTGTTTTATTTGAAAATGTAAAAAAAAACCTGTAACCCTAAAATGTTTTTTTTAAGTGTAATATATCTGAAAACGCTAGGGACACAAAAATGGACATTTCTGTAGAATGACCCATATGTAAAAGAAACCATGACTCAGTGGTCTCAGTCCACTTCAGACGCTGAAACAGCCCAAGTGTGAAAACGCTCTTAGAGCGTACTCCTCTAAATTCTAAGCACTGATATTTAGTCTAACATGTAGTCATCCCTAAAGTAAAGAAAAACATAATCGTTGAGGAATACATTGTTAAATATTTTTATGTATTTTCTGCCTAAAAAATCCAAAAAGGCACAGAAGTGTTCTTACACCTCAATAGTCCTTTGGAATGCAAAGATCTATGAATACACATGATTATGCCTGTTTCCTTGCCCCTTCCCCCCACATACCATCTTTATCTAGACTGAACAGACAGAGCAGAAATGAAAATAAGCTACCACTGTAACTTTAATAAATCATAAAAATTTCTGAAAAAGTCACTGAAAAACCAGAAAAAAACAGTGAAAATGCAAAAAAGTCTACATGTCATTTCACTTGCCCAGATTTGAGTCTTTATTCTCCAAACTTGCCTCGGCACAGTGTCAGTGAGCTGGAATGGATGGTTAGTGTTAGCCTCTGGAACGTGGGACAAAAGTAGCTTAAGCTAACAGCTCCACACACAAATGCCCAGATTTAAGTCTGTTATTTGTGTCAATAAGGAACCATAATGAAGCTGTGCTGTGGTGAAACTGTAGCTATGGCAGTAGCATGCTACCTGCTTCTAGAACAGTGCTGTGTGTAAGGGTCAGCATGCGGCCAGAGCCAGAGCCCCAAGGGCCGGCGAGAGCCACAGGAAGCAGTATGATTCCAGCAATCAACTCTCTTACATGTAGTGGTGCGACTGCTGTTTCCGTGGGATCTGAATGCTGAGATGACAGAGAGGAGCAACAACCTCTCTTTCTCAGCTCAGGTGCTCAGCTGCCCTCAATGAGGGCCAGCCTGCACTGATTTGGCCTCATGACACCTCTCACAGCTCTTGTTGGCCTGTCACTTTCTTTCATTAGCATATTTTAGTATTTTGGATTGTATTAGGATCAAGCTCATTCATGACATACAAAAGTAAGTTGCTACTTAGTGCTCCACAAATTGCGTTTTTGTGTCTGTGAATGAAGCAACGAAGCATAAGCACTTTGATAGAAATTAATTAATACAAATTTCAAAATGTATGTATACTCACAATATATCAGCTGAAAAGCTGTTTTTTTATGGTCATGAAGTTAAAAGGTTAAAACGAAGTGAGATAATACTATGTAATATATTAGCTTTGTCATTTTCTTTCACAAGTTTCACAATTTCACAATTTCTTTTGCAAAAGAAGGGAGATCAAGAAGGGAGGCTAAAACTAACATACAGCCAATCAAATGCAGAACTAGGTAATCAAAGTAAATCTACAATTAGAGTTATCATATATTGTCTAATGCTTTATTTGTAATTATTGAAACATAAAAACAAAAACATATATTTTTAGTCTGATTTGCATAAATATTTTAGCAAAATACTTCAATAGTAATACCTGTGATGGTATTTAGGCAGAAACAAGAACTACTCTTAATAACCCTTTATTATAAGTCAATAAATAATCATAGTCCAGTAAAGAACTGTAGAAAACAACAATCCCATGTATAACATACAGTCGAGGCAGGTCAGCGATTCTTTTTTTGGTCATTACTGACTATACCTAAACAAAACGACAACCTATTATGGCTGTAATTAGAGTATTAAAAGATGTGACAGCTCTTTTGCAACTCAGCTAGTCATTTTTCAACAACCATCCCACAACTCTCAAAGTTATCCTGTATCATCTTAAAATGCATCTTAAACTATCACAAAACTTTAAACAAACATGAAAACAGTGAAAGTTTGGAATGCTACACCATCCTGGATTTTCAGCAGTCTTTACGTGTTCTAACTGTGTTTAGGAATGTCCATAAAACTTTTAGAGTAATGCAACACTTCATTTCCAGTCCATGGTCAGCAGGTCAGCATTTCGCAAATGTTCTTCCCCTGTTGGGGTTTTGCTGCAGCAGTCCTGATTTCACCAAAGTTGTGTTTAGGTTTGAATATTAACCCATATCTGTACAATGACATGGTGAATGATATTTAGAGAGGATATATATCATATTAAAAGGAAGTGTATCAATGAACATAATGTCTAAATGATGAAGGATGTGAAATATTTCTCTTTTGATGGGAGCAGTATCTTTTAGGGACCACTGAATGTTCTGCTTAATATAAAAATAACAAATCATATACTATGGCCTTTGCCACATTGAATTCAATTAATTGTTTCTTCAGCAAGGCTTTTCACAGTGGTATGGTACACAATAGGTCATTTTAAACAAATAACTCAAAATATCTGGAAAGTAGTACTGTTTTTTTTTTTTTTTAGACATGACTTGTATTGGCATAGTTATTAAACTTGATCGAGCACCCTGCAGAATTTAACTCTTGTCTAACACATTTTCTAAACCGCTTATTCTTCTGGGTGCTGGAGCCTGTCTCAGCAGTCATTGGGCGTAAGGCAGGACAAATTATTCTCATGATTACATATTTACCATGCCTGCTACTGAATGAAAAAAATAATAATACATTTCTTTTTTCTGTTTGTAATTCACTTAATAAACGTTGACGTATTTGCACTAACTTTTGGAGTCCTTAATTTTGGTAGACCCAGGATTCCGAACCAACCATTTGACCAGGTGTGAATCCGAGAATATCCAACATCACACTATTTTTTCTTTTTACCATGAAAGGAGACATGTTCAATAAATAGAAATAAATTTGTAATAAATACGATTGTAATAAATACTTACAAATTACCAACTTTACCTGTTAGCATCAGCATGTACACAGGCAAAATATAAATAAAAAAATACACACCTTCTAAGGAGCTTATCCTTCTGGGTTGCGGTGAGAGCTGGAACCCGTCCCAGCAGTCAGACTAAATAAAAAATAAATATTAAAAATACTTAAAAATAAATATTTAAATAATATTAGAGCAAGAATCCAATTGTTCCATATAAAGTTAAATTATGTAAACAACTGTATTCTAGAAAAAAATAATTGTAAATAACATCATTAAACGTCTAAGACATTTCTACACCAGACATTTTCCAGTGTACATTTACTAACGAAATAAACTTGTGTAAAGACGTATGATCGTTGGTCAGTACATACATTCTGGAAAACTAGTATCGCGAATAATTCTTAGATTACTTTTTGATCTTGGAGTGAAAAGACTTTTTGACGGCTGATGTCCTCCTCAACACACATATCCACTGGCATAGACTCATTCTTAGAGGTGTTGAACCAGCGAGGGTACTTCACTGATTCGAAGGTGTTAATCGAGTCTCCAGTAACTTTTCAAAAGAAGAGGAAAGTTAAATGCAACTGTCAAATGAACTGAGCTGTGTAAGCACAGGCAGTGGGTTCTCAAATGGTCATCTGTACATTCCTCTAGGATGAGATGAGGCTGAGAGGAGGTTCCAGACTCCTTTGTGCATGCGAGATACAGGTTGCTCTGAGCAATCCTCAAACATACTGGCTGGCCGTTTGTGGCTTTGCACCCTGGGGTGGTGTAGGTTGATAGGTTGATGCAAAAGATAAAAAGGATTTCAGTAATGAACACTTACCACTTTGGCTGCTGCACCCTTCAGGGTGACCGCTAGTAGGCTGGGAGCACCTTGGCTTCACACCAGGCTTTTTAAGCTGTCACACACAGTACACTGGACGACTTTATCTTGCTTGTTGTATGTCTTCGAAGATTCACAATTCACCTTCATACCCACACTCTGTGTGAGAAGGAGAGATGGTAGATCAGCCTACAAGGCATCTCAGAGCAATTTCTCAGTCGTCTGCATTATAACAGCAGAGCTAAAGAACAGCAGGGCCTTGGAACAAGGAAGCAAAGAGATATATTTAACTATTGTCTTGTACCACTTTGTTTAAAGTATCAGATTTTCTCAAGAGGGATATGATTTTTTGCCTCACGCCTGCTTTGGATTAACATGGACAGTAAAACAGACAAACAGAGGTTTACTGCACCTTCAACTATGCTCTCCTTGACGATGTTGAATAGCTAATGGTCGATGAACTCTGTGGACTGGACATTCTGAGCGTGCTTGAACTTCTGCAGCTTATGCAGGGCGATTATGATGTTGGTCACTGGTCTCATACTGTGAGGCTGCTCAGAAATTTCAATGCGGAGCCCTTGGTCACATCTTTTTAATGGGAAAATGCATGCTTTTAAAGCATTTAAAGATTCGAAGTCTTCCCATTTTAACAAACTACAAACTAATTCACCACATACATATTCAGGACAGTGTTATTTTATTCATGGCAGTTACAACATGATGTAAAGGCTTACCTTTCCAACAGCAACTACTCCTTGTCTGCCAATTCTATAAAAAAATGATCAACTTATATTATTATATATTATTATATATTAGTTCCAGCATCCCCTTAAGTAAAAAAAATATCTATGAATTGCCATATTTTCATCTATAGGACTTTTAGTTTATATAAAATTATTGTTTGAAAATCCACCTTAAGATTTTATTTTCAATATTTTCTTTAACCAAGTAAATAGATCTTAATAATAGTTAAGCCCTTCGGATACATACCAATAGTTAGTGAGTCTGTGATGGGGTCAATAAGTCTGTCCCATCACCAGGACTGTGAAAGGACACTGGGACATAAAAAGGGGACAATGGATGGGGGATTGAGGCCTAGGTGATATTAAAATGTACATAGAAGAAATACTTACCTTTTTCTGTCCTGTACCTCAGGGGAGCACAGGCACCTTCCAGAGCTTCCCTTATACTGAGTCCACGGCTGTGTGTAGAAGAGGGAAGGTGGGATCCGAGAATCTGTGGGGAAAGACAGAAAAGGGTTAATAGTAAATCAATATAAATGAATATACTTACTGGTAAAAGGCACCTTCTTGTTATGTGTATTATCTGTACTGTGTTTATTGTCCTGAAGTTGTCTTGTTATTGTTTGTTTTGTGTAACCCCTCACTAGCTCTGGGGAATGGTTTAACCAGATGGGGCAGGGCTATGGTGTTAAAAGGAGGCGGGGATTCATTCAATGGAGAAAAGATAGGGAATGTAGGATGTGTCTGTGTGGCCTTGCGGCCTCCGGCACAATCTGGCTGACATTTAGCCAGAAATGTCCACATGGGGCAGCATAAGGGATTAGAAGTAGTCTGTTTTGTCCTAGCCATATTAATTGCACTGCAAACCATTTATTTTATGTTTATTCAGTGTTTTCTTTCACTTTTCCCGTGCCTGTGTGCAAAATAAAGTATCACGTGTGTGCAAGTCGAACTTTGGAGTTCAGCCTGATCTTTTCGAGGAGAACCCTGTCTTTACACCGGCATGCTACATGTAAAATAGTGCAGTCTTGCAATCTCTACACCCCAAACATTCCCACAGAGTCTTAGAGACTAAGGTGTGAATTGGTCCCAGTAGTTTAGCTGTAGTGTAACAGCTGCTCTCTAAAGAGCACATTCATGCTGCTTTTATAGGAGCATTGTGATATTTACAAAGATTGTACAAGCACTACCGATATTTGCTGATAAATAATTAACAGAGTTTTACTGTCATTGTAGCCTGCATTTAACTGTCCCTCATTCCAGCTTGGTTTTTATTCCTGCACTTCATCAAATGTCCAACAAGGCCAGGCAGTGATTTAGTCCTGCATAACAACATACATGTTAATATTGTATTATAGATATTAAATGATCTACGTCTAATTTAGGTCCAAGTCCTTTGTTAAACTGCTGAAACAGCAAGGTCAGTGATGTTGAAATTCACTTTTTAAAATCATGTTTTAAAGTGTACCAATCATTAGTCCAACATTTAGTCTAAGAATTCAAGTCAAGCAAAGCATTAAATTCATATTCAATTCCTGAGTAATTCATATTAATAAAGACCCTGCTATGTGAACACTGAGACCAGATACTGTTAGACACTGTTAGACATAGATTTAGATATTTTTATAAATGAGTACTTAATTTTTACTCATATTCTGTAGTGGAAAAAAAATAAAGAGAACCTGTACTAAAGTGAAAGTAAGATGCTTTGTCAAATTCTTCATTAAAAATGGAAACATGGAGCCACAAGTGTACTTTAAAGTCAAAACGTATCAGCATTTAAATAAATTCAAGTATATAAAAGTAAAAATGTAATATTTTAACAAATACATTAGATCTTTTCTTCTTTTAATGGTGTGTATGTGCAAGGCAGTGACTAATGGACACACTGCATTTACACAAAGATGAAATAGCACATTTGTGAGCAGTTTCATTTTACACTGATATGAATTTGGTTGGAGGTTTTAATTTGTTTACAAAAAATATAGAGGGATAAAGATTTAAAAAAACTCCTCTTTTGAGAACGAGTACTATGAAAGATTGATGAAAAAGTTTTTTCAAAGAACGCTGACAGGATATTTTTCCACACCTCAGAAGTTCAGTCTTTGAAGTTGGTTGCATTTTATGGCTTTTCAAAATTCAAGTAAGTCCAAACACACTGAGTGACACTGTGGTCTGGGCTCTGGGGTGGACAGTCCATCATTCTGAGAACACCAACTGCTTCATTTCATTTGAAATGATGTGACCGCTGACGTCCGAAGCTTCGTTTCGGCGCACAACCACATGACTACATCATGGAGTGATTCAAAAGTAGCAAATCTTTGCACGCACTTTGAGGATCCTTCGAGGATTGAGAGAGAGAAAGAGATAGAGAGAGAGAGAGAGAGATTTTGTAAGAGAACTATTATAATAATAAAGAAAAGGCATTGCCTTAAATTAGGTAATGGACTAGGGCTGTGATAAATACGAGTAGGTCATCAAGAGCCCTGCTCGGGAGTTTGTCAAAAAATCTTAGAACTGTATAATTGTTCATATATTAACATAACAATGAATGCCAACCAGCAACAGTGTGAATGTAATAATAATTACAACAGTTTTTTCCAGTGTGCCTTCTCAAGATGTGTTCTGGGTGTATTCTAAATTTATTCTGAATACATTTCTGGTTAATGCATTGTAATAGAATACATTCCATTATTCAGCCATCACTAGCATTCTGCTCAACCCTGGATATTTGTACCAGACACAGCAGTAAGATTTTAATAAGACATGCGCAACAAACAATTTAGTTATATCAGTTGTTTTTATAGAAACAACAAACGCCTTGTTTTAATGCACTGGAACACAGTTTTACAATCTGTAAAAAAAGAAAAATCCTTGTCCGCTAGATACCCCAAGCACTTTGTGGTTTTAGCAACCAGATGCCACTAATGTGGAACTGGTTGTGATTGGTTGGTGTTGGGCTTGTGACTATGATGTCAGAACCAAATGAGTCATGGGAGTTGGAGTTTACAGGTTGGTTGGAGACTTCGGAGGAACAAGGCAGAGTGACAGAAAGACTTATGGATTTTTCTTATCTGAAGCAAGAGTGGTGTTGTTAGGAAACTTATTTTCTCTGTATCTTTTGACCATTTTTTTAACTTTTTTATTTCTTTTCTATGCAAGTGGATTGTACCTTATTTACTCAGAAATATCACTCAAGTTTTAGGCTGTATTATACTAAATGGCCATTTTGACTGGAAATTAAATAAATGTGGAATCCCTGAGTTTTGCACTGTACTATAGCACAGGCTGGTATTGGCCAACTGTTTGGGACAGGCTAGATTTGAAAATTTAAATGCGTAGATCACTCTACTGACTTGCACACTGTTGTTTTTGTTATATTTTGTGGTGAAGTATGACTTATCTTCACTTTGTCACTTTCTATCATGGGCCAAACTTTCCACAAAACAAGGGGCGAATCAATAAAAGTTTATAATGATACATCATAATGGATTTTCAGTGTTTTCTCTTCCCATTATCATACCTATCAGCCTTCGCTTGCTTAGGAGAGTCCATCAAATTTTCAAGGTTATGCAACACTTCTTCTTTTTGAATCCAAAGTCAGTGGGAAAAAAACTTTCATCCTAAACATTTTGCAGATTTAAAATTTCCTCTTTTAGTTTTGATGCATTACAACAGTTGTGCTTTTACCAAAAGTGCATTTAGTTTTGTACATTTAAAATAATAACCCATCTCTGTCTCATGGCACTGCAGGTTTGCAAGTCCTGGCATGGTGAAGATTAACAGAGAAGCTGCAAATGATACATAAAGAAGTGAGTCAATGAATATATTTCATCACAAAGGATAGTTGGCATTTTGAAGCAACACGTGAGATTAAGTCACTAGATTCACACCCTGCACATCCTGACACCTGACCATGGATGTAATTATTGGTAGGGATGGTAGGAATTTGTCCCTACCACTTTTCTGACTACCTAAAATTGTCCCCACCACTATTTTGATAGCCTATACATGGCATATTTGCATTTAAATCAAATATACAGTAATTTCCATTGGCTCTATAAAAGGTTGACCCCCTCATGTAACACAGGATGTGCTGTAGGATGATGCAATCATTTCTGACTTGGGTAACATTAACTGTTCTTTTTCTTTTTGTACTGGCATTACACCTGTTGGCCAAACAAGAGGAGCATTAGTGATCCCAGTTTTAAATCCCATCTGTGTGGCTAGTGGCCTAGGGTCACTATAGTTAATATTACAATTAATACTTATTTTCTGATGATTGAACCTCCTGAAATAATGCAGC